TCCTCCATGGGACCTAACGCTTTGACCCTGGCTCAGGTCAGTAGAGCTTTCCAAACAAGTGTCTGCTGTAGGGCCCTGCTGTCAGGGGATGATTTCCACACAGATGGAGGCAGGCCACATACAGCCAGCTCCTCCTCGTGAGCAGATGTGCTTAGCAGACAGTCTTGCTGTGCCAAGCCACTCTAAATTAAAAAAAAAAAAAGAGTTGCTGACAGAAAAAAGATTTTAAAAAAACAATTCTGTTATCCTCTCCCTCTCCATAGCAAGTATTTACTGAGCAGAAGCCGCAGCAGCAGCCTGCGCTCCATGTCAGCATGTCAGAGGAAGGGTCTGAAGCTGAGGGAACAGTGGTCCTCACATTGCAATTTAATTCATGTGTCTTACCACAATCTTCTTCCTACACTGGAGAAGTGTGGATGTTGGATTATTTTGTCCATAGCTGAGGAAATGACAAGTGGCTCTGAAAGGAGCTTGATGGTTGGTTCAAATAGGGCTTTCCACGGTAAGCGGCCATATCGCTTATGGGCTTCTTCATACCCACGAAGTTCTCCTGGTACAGCAATCCAGTGGAAACCTGAAGAGCAGAACAGCAGTGTGACACCCAGTAAGTCATTGGCCTGTGGGTTTCACGTCTCTGAAAGCACTCCAGTGGAAGTGTGGGTTTGTACAGGCAGGACTGAGGCTTCTAAAAGCAGGCTTGGTTTTTTTTCTTTCCTTTTTCTGATCATATATTTCTTCCACTACCTAATAGAAGGGGTGTAGAGAAGCTGGAGCCAGATTCAGAGGTGCATGGTAAAAGCACAAAAGGCAACAGGCACATGTTGCAGCAAGGGAGATGGCAGCTGGACATAAGAGAAAAAGCAGTCATGCGGAGCCTGGTCAAACACTAGAAAAAGTGAAGCTGTGAAACTCTTAATTCCTGGAGAAGTTAAAAAATGTGACAGGACAAGGCCTTGAGCAGCCTGAGCTAACTCTGACGTCACTCTACTTTGAGCAAGAGTTGGAGCAGAGACCTCCAACTGTCCCAACCGTTTCAGGCTCTTCTTCCAAGGATAAGAACATCTCCAGGACCTAGGACATGCCCCAAAAGCAAATATGCTAGGGAAGGAGATGAATACAGCAGGAAATGTGGAGAGATCCAAGATGTGCTGCTAAAGCAAGAGTGCCTTTTGCCAAACCAATAACAGCAAATGGATGTGGAGCCTCCTCGGATGGGAGCAAGGTGCTAGCTGAGCTAAGCTGGAGCCCGGCAACTCAACTACTGATGCTGCCAGGTTGCTTCCCCAATGTAAGGACATGAGCAAGCGCACTAGATTGATTTCTTTCATTTCCAGAAAGTCTGAGCAGCTATTGACCTTATTTTTCTCTGTAAGAACTCCTGGGAAATCTGGTCTTGAAAGGCAGACTTCCTATGAAGAGAAATTACATAGTTATTTCTCCTCATGCTCTGCTCCCCATCCCCCCATGCTGGTCAGGTTCCCAGAGTTACTGCAAAGCAGGAATTCTATGGACCTAGTATTTTTTCTTACTTTTGCAAAAATCAATCCAGGAAGAGCGCGAGCAATTAAATAGAACTTCAGATAAAGTCAGCAAGGTCCTCAGTTTCCCCACCCTGAGCTTTGTGCACTGCACACCGGGAACGCACACAGCCCTCATGGCCCAGTCTATGTCCTTACCAATGGGGAAACCAGCAGCGCAGCCAGACAACAAATTGTGCGGAAACACTCGTGGGACTGTCTCACGGGCGTTGATCACCTCAACTGTTCCTAGAAAGGAAAAGCGGGAAAGGTATAACATCGTCTTCCTGAAGCAGATGAACATCACACATCAGCCAGCTGTGAGCACTGCACAGGCTGCTAGCCCACAGCCCGCGGCACCGCGCTGAACTGCTCCGAAGCCTTTTGTCAAATGTGTCAAGGACACTTGCAGGGTCAGGCTACAGTCGGCACACACTGTCACAGAATCATAGAATCATAGAATGCTTTGGGTTGGAAGGGACCTTGAGAGATCATCGAGCCCAACCCCCCCTGCAGTGAGCAGGGGTTGAACCTGTGAACTTGGCGTTCGTTTGCTCCCATGCTTTTATTTAGAGCAAACCAAGCAGTGCCTACCTAGAGGCAATGAAGGTACAGGGACAAGGCCAGGGCCTGTCCCCAGCTGGTTAAGGTCCCCCCCCCAGGGCTCTTGGGCCTGGAGCACGGGCTGGGACATGCTGCTTCACATCTGATTTGCAGGTTCCTGCACTTCCTTTACAGGTGGGACATGTCAGAGACATAACACGAGCCTCATGCTCCTCGGTGGGCCATTTTCCAAGTGGTTGTGAGACACGTCCATCGTATTTGTAAGCAGAACAGTGATACTGAAAGACCGTCTATGTATCAGGAAGCTTGAAAGGAAAAAAGAAAACCAAACAAAAAAACCACTTGTATACACTCGTATTTCAGGTCTAGCCTATTATTTCACCTCCTTCTCTGCCCTGTATTTATCTTTTCCTGTCGCAGTCCACAGAGCTAGCTGTGCTGCAGGAGCCCACAGTGCTACCTAGTGTACCAAGCACCTGAGCCGTGCATGGCCATGTGCGGCTCTGTGCAGCAGGATAGTTCAGGTAGCAGAAGAGGATTGTTGATAGGGGACAAAGTTGCATGGCTCTGCCAAAAGGGAAAAAAGAAAAATATAGGTGTTTTGCCAAATTATGCTATTGCATAAGATACACTCAAGCATTTCCAGACTCATGACTCTGTGAGACTACTTGGCAGAGTTTTTAAGACTACAATATTGTTATTGTGTTCATTGTTGATTTTACTATTTAGATCTATAAGCTCTGGGGGCTTTTGTGAACCAAGGCAGTTAAAAAAAAACAACATTAAAAACATAAAAGCAAGAACACAACACAAGTATAGCCAAACACAGAAGGGCTTTCCAGCAGGCCCTGAACATTGCCAGATTTAGATTTCTGAAGGCAAGATGCATCTCCTGGGACAGGGAGTCTCAGCACCGCTGAGGAGTCCTACCTACCCCAGCGAGGGCAGCATGCAATGCTGTGCCCGTGTCGGCAGGCACTGCCTGAGCTGCTGACGTGCGATGAGCCCCTGAAGTCCCAGCCCAGAGGCTCAGCTGAGGCAGTGGCAGCCCCATATTGCTGTGCTCATTGGCAGCACACACGCCTCACTCTGCTTCCGTCTGCCTCCATGGCAGCCCAGCAGCAGCTCAGACAGCACTGCTCATGCTTTGCTGCACCGTCAGCTATGTGACATATAATATTGAAATATAATTTGGGATTGCTTTGGAGGGAGAAGGAGAGGCAAAGTCAGTTCATTTTAAATCCAAAGCTCCTTCCCCCTGCCCCCACATATTCTTGCTGTGAAAAGATGCACTCCCTGTAATGGACGCTTTGGGTTAAGACCAAAAGTATGGTTTGTGATCAGAGGATGCAGCTTTTACATTCTGAGAGAACATGGCAGCTGGGTGTCTGCAGGGAGATGGGTCACCATGGAGAGGCCAGGGCTGGCCCATACCTGTGCTGGCATTATAGATGGTAAAAACAACCCCTCCACCCAGGCCTGAACTTTGAGGGTTCATCACCGAGGTGCAGATCAAGCCAGCAATGGCAGCATCCACAGCTGTGCCTCCACTTTTCAGGATGTCCCTGTGGTGGAAATGGAGGAAAAAAGACAATGTTAAAATCCAGGGATGACGGAGTGGAGGAGCTACATATGAAAATATCTCCCTGGGGCACTTGCAAGGCAGCCCCAGCTTGACGAGAGCAGCTAGCAGTTGGAGAAACCTATTGGCAGCAGTGTGGGGGGTGAGAGTGCAGAAAGGCACCTTCTTTGTGGGAGTGAGAAAGACAAATTAGTGGGAAAGAAGAGAGAGAGACAGTCTGCAGGAGAAAAGAGCAGCCAGGGGCCCGACCTTTGTGAGGCTGGTCTTCCTCTGGGCAAAGAGTGATGGGACGGAGAGAACTGCAGCTGCTCACAAATGTTGTTGACAAAAAGGGACAGCAAAGAGCTCGCAGACGTGGTGGCGCATGGTCTTGGCAGAGGAGAGAGCTTTCTACATGCTAGGAACAAAACAACTGATTTCTAGCTCCCCACCTACCGTTCCCAATGAAAAGGCATATGCTGGTCAACAGGACAGGGCCACTGAAGCAGGAACAATGGGGCCACGTGAAGCAAACTCCTGAGACTTCACAAGTCAATTAGCACAAAATTTGGGCCTTACTTCATTGGTCCTATAATGTGCCTTCCTGGGCTTATGTGATATTAGTGCCAAAATCCCACCCCCTCCCTGTATCTCCAAAAGCAAAACAAATAAACAAAAATCAAACAGGGAAAAAACCCCACTCAGCTGTTTCTACCTAGGCACAGCCACATCAGAGAACACACAGGCATTAAGGCAGTCCCATGCTGTTCACAGCAATGAGTTTCTGCTAGAGAAATGTGTCTCAACAAAGGCTTCCTTCAAGCACAGCTGTAAAAAAAATCTTTTCCTTGCAGTGGGGTTTCCTTGTACAGCCTGCCAGTAGCCATGACTGGTATTCTCTAGGAAGGGTTCTGACTGGGTTGGTTGTTGCTTAGATAAGGCAAAGGCAGAAGGGAAAGTGGAATAGTTTATTAATTGGAGTGCAACTGCTCTCAGAGGCTGTGACTGGAACACAGAGCATGTATAAGGGCTGCTGTTTATTTTACATCCGTTGACATGGTTGGGACCTGCTGGGGCTGGAAACAGGATGCTGCCAGCAGGCACGCTGCTTGTGGCTTTCCTTTGTTTCTGTAAGTGCCTTTGGAACCGCTGTCTGTAAGGAAATGGCACATAGACAAGTGGGGAGAAAAGAAACGGTAGGGAACCACCGGGCTTTCCAATTGGGGTCTGCATGGCTTTTAGCCTCCCAGCAGCAAGCTGCTCCCTGGCTGTAGCTCTGAAAAGAGAGACTGAGGCTCAGGCTCACCCATTCATCTCCTTGCAGCAGGGGTCAGACTCTCACCACATGAATGTCTCTGTGTGGTGTTTTTCTGAAACTGAAGCTTTTTAATTGCTGACAGTAGAAGGGAAGGATTTGAGGGCTTCATGAGAAACTGAGTTACCCCCACAGAAGGCCCAGGAATCCAGTTAGAAAGTTGTGGAAGGAGGGGAGAAGAACCACTGCACTGGCCTGGGACAGTGCTCCTCAGAGCCCCTGGCTTATGGGCTATGAGGCAGCACATGTACAAAGCCTGGTGCCAGGGAAAACCATGGTTCTGAGATCATTTGCAGTGAAAAAACAACTTTAAAAAGAAACTTTGAGATTGTATGGTATTCATTTCAATGCAATGCATTAAGACCTTAACATGGAAAATCAGACACATTTCTGTCATTTTCCCAAAGCCCAAAAAGCACCAGATCCTCATCCAACTTCTCAGCCACATTCACAGTTGTGTAAGTGGTTGCACATCTTGCTCTACCGCTCGTCCAAGGATCCTGCCACTCTCCTTCTGAAGCAGTGCCGTACACCCCTCACCACATCCTCAGAAACACTTGTGCCTGGAGGAGCACTCCCTGATGAAGACGCTTGTCCCTTCCTGCATCATCTGGTGATGGTCGTCTACCTCCTCCAAAAGATGAGATGTTCCCTCCCCCCCCGCCACTGATCTGCACCAAGCCAGCACAGTCTGCGCCAGAACTGCATTAACTTAGCATGCTCTAAAGGGTGACCACAGTTAATCAATTTATTAATTTAATATTTGTACACCTAGATGGCCTGTTTCTGGATGATGCTAAGATCTTTTGCTGTTCCCAAGTACTTGCTTATAAAAGCAACACTGTGGGCTAAATACCTTTTAACTACTGCAAATGTAGTGCCATATGCACAATGCATACAAACCTGAGAATGTCTTAGCGTGACCTTATCCATGCTCCCTCCCTCCAACACTCCCAGTTAGACATAGAGCCAGGATAACACAAGCCATGTAAACTCCAGTTTGTAGCTGTACCCTTGGCTCCCCCTGAGATCAGGGAGGACAAATGAGGTCTCAGTCTCAGTAGAAAAGGTGTATCTGACTGCTAAAGGCAGCAGCAAACTTCTCCAGGGAGCTGAGACCTGGACTGTTCCTGCCACTGGCAAAAGGGACAGAGATTTCCTGATAGTATCAAGGAACAAGTGGGAGAAAGACATTCACCAGCCAGTGGAGAGGACTTCAAGCAGTGCTGCCAGGATGGAGACATCCTGCCTGGCATGGCCGAGGCAAATCCAGTGCTTATTTATGGGGTCTGTTTACTCCAGCCTGCCAGTCCACCCAATAGTTTTCAGATGGGTCGTGCCCAAGACACTGACATCGTGCATGCCTCAGGAAGGCAGGAAAACCAGAGACAGCCTTTACAGTTCCTGCTCTGCGCCTCACACAGCGGTGCCCTGATTCTTGGCTGCGACTCCTTTGTGTTAACACAATATAGAGCTAAAATAACACCAGCAGCCAACACGGGAACACATGTTCACAGAAAAGCAAAGCATGTTTTGCTTTGTTCTTGGTCACTAGCTCCCATTAAACACATTTTGCAATATAAACAAGATGACAAGAAAACCAGAATTTCCAGATAATCCAAAAGTACTTTCCATTCCTGTCCACTGTGTCTATATTGGTGGCAACTGTCACTGTCACCTCTGGTGGCAAATACCACATCTAATAACACATAGTCAAAACTGTTTCTTGCTTAATGGAAGGAGGGCTTTCCAGTTGCCTGCTGCCTTTCAGTGAGCACCATGGGATGGAGAGCTGAGGCTTCCCATCCACTGGCACACTGTGCGGCATCTGAGACCATCTCAGTATTGGATGGGCTGTCTGGTGCTAGGCATGGTCCTTTGCCTGCTGATTCTTTGGGGGACAAGGGTTAGGGGGAAGGGGAGCTGAGATTTATCCCCAAAACTAGGCATTATCTTGTCTCTTTCCAGCCTGGCAGGAAGCACTCCCAGCCCCAAGTTTCACAAACACATCTTGGAGGGCTTGCATGCCACACTGATGTTCTTTTCCTGGCTCTGTGGGGGTGGATGTGCCTGCCAAGTTTTTCACTTGAACAAGGGGTGTCCCATGACAGAGGACAGGCATGGTGGTAGCTAAGGAAAAGCAAGACTTACAGTCAAGATTTTAGCTCAAGCTCAGAAACCACTGAACCCAGCAAGGGCAAACCAATTCCTGACCAGGGTTATTAATAAGATTTCTTTTGAGCTGCTTTGCTCTTTGTGGTAGGTTGAGCCTGTCTGGATGCCAGGTGCCCACCAAAGCTGCTCTGTCACTCCCCTTCTCAACTGGACAGGGGAGAGAAAATACAATGAAAAGCTCGTGGGTTGAGATAAAGACAGGGAGAGATCACTCACCAGTTACTGTCATGGGCAAAACAGACTCGACTTGGGGAAATTAGTTTAATTTATTGCCAATCAAAACTGACTAGGATAATGAGAAATAAAACCTAAATCTTAAAACACCTTCCCCCCACCCCTCCCTTCTTCCCAGGCTTAACTTTAGTCCTGATTTCTCTACCTCCCCTCAAGTGGTGCAGGGGGATGGAAAATGGAAGATGCGGTCAGTTCATCACATGTTGGCTCTGCCGCTGCTTCCTCCTCAGGGGAGGACTCCTCACGCTCTTCTCCTGCTCCAGCATGAGGTCCCTCCCACAGGAGACAGTCCTCCATGAACTTCTCCAACATGGGTCCTTCCCACAGGCTACAGTTCTTCATGAACTGCTCCACCGTGGGTCCCTTCCACAGGGTGCAGTCCTTCAGGAGCAGACTGCTCCAGCGTGGGTCCCCCACAGGGTCACAAGT